AGCTGCCCTTTGAAATCTGTTCAGCTCTTTTATCTTGTCATTTCTTCCATTTGCTTTAGCTACTCTTCACTCAAGGGCAAATTTCAGAGTTCTGTCAAGTTGATTTTGACTCAGAGTGACTCCTCCTTGAGTTTCTGAGGTGGTATCTCTGCAGAAGTAGATTGCCCAATCTTCCTTCCAAAGAGTGGCTGGTGGGTTTGAACCCCCAGCCTTCTGATTAACAGTCAAATGCCTTAGGCACTATACCACCAGAGCTCCTAAAATAAGTCCATAGGGGCCAAAATACCACCTTGATTATATCCCACCTGAGTTTAGACTTGAAGAATAGAGTTGATGCATTGAACATCAGTGACCAAAGACCAGGTGAATCGTCAGATGACATCAAGAACATCGCACATGAAGAAAGCAAAACCCAAAAAAACCAAACTCACTGCCGTTGAGTCGGATCCGACTCATAGCGACCCCTTCTTGGCTTTCCAAGGCAGTATCACAACAGAAGTAGATTGCCTAATCTTCCTTCCTAGGAGTGGCTGGTGGATTTGAATCTCCAGCCTTCTGGTTAGCAGTCAAATGCCTTAGATACCATGCCACCAGAGCTCCTGAAGAAACCAAAAGGTTATTAAAAAGGCAAGAAAGAAAGAAAAGACCAAAATAGTTGTCAGAAGATGCTCTGAATCTCACTCTTGAACTGAGAGTAGCTAAAGTGAATGGAAGAAATGAAATAAAACAGCTGATCAGAAGATGTCAAAGGGCTAAGGAGCTCTGGTAGCACAGTGCCTAAGGCATCTGACTGCTAACCAGAAGGTTGGTGATTCAAACCCACCAGCCCCTCTGTGGAAGCAAGACTGGACAATCTACTTCCGTACAGATTCACCACCTTGGAAATCCAATGGGGATTACTGTGAGTTGGAATGGACTTCATGGCAGTGGGTTTTTTTTTTTTTTTTTTTTTGGTAGCTCAAGAAGACAAAGCAAAGTATTATAATAAACTTGAAAAGATCTGGAATTAGAAACCAAAAAGGAAGTATATGCTCAGCATTTCTCAAGCTGAAAGAACTGAACAGAAGGTTTAAGACTTGAGTTGCAATATTGAAGGATTATATGAGCAAAATCTGCTCATCTGTCAGTTTGGCCTACTGTGGTGACTTGTGTGTTGCTGTGAGACTGAAAGCTATGCCATCATGACTTCAAATACCAGCAGGGTCATCCATAGTGGACAGGTTTCAGTGGAGCTTCCAGACTTAGACTCGGAAGAAGGACAGGGCCATCCACTTCTGATAAAAGTTGGCCACTGAAACCCTTATGAACAGCAGTGAAACCCTGTCTGATATATTACTGGAAAACTTTAGGAATAGCAGTGAAGCATTGTCTGATGTAGTACCAGGAGAGGAGACCCTCAGTTTGGAAGGCACTGCCTCCCATGGACTGTTGGAATAAGTTTTATCATTCCAATATATCTATTCTGTCTTCTGTGGCTGGTATCTCATTGTGGTTCTGGTTTACCTGCCAGACTTAATCTTAATGCTCATTTTCAAATGGATTCAGATATGCATATGGGTCAGTTGGCTTCACTTCATCCTAGTTACTCCATGCAGTGGAATTTGCCCAAAGTGGTATTTCATGTTAGTGTACTGAAGTAATATTGTCAATTATTTCCTTTGCCATGCTTCTTCATGGGACAAGTTTATCTTCTGTGTATATTTCATTAGCCCTTTTCCTCCTTGTTATGGGTTGAATTGTGTCCCCTAAAACATGTGTCAATTTGGCTACATAATGATTCTCACTATTATGTAATTATCTTCCATTTTTTGGATCTGATGTAATTATCCTATGTGTTGTAAATCCTAACCTCAATGATATTATGAGGCAAGATTAGAGGCAGATATCTTAATGAGGCAGGATACAATCTACAGGATTAGGCAGTATCTTGAGTCAATCTCTTTTGAGATATAAAAGAGATTAAACAAGTTAGCAGAGATCAGAGGGACATCAGTACCAACAAGAAGGAAGAGCAGGGAACAGGGTGTGTGCTTTGGACCCAGACTCCCTGTGCTGAGAACCTCTAAGACCCAGGGAAAGACTGAAGCCAAAACACATGAGATCTCCAAGGAATGGTGGGCCACAGATGATGAAAAGGAGACAAGGACTTTCCTTCAGAGCTGACAGAGAAAGACTTCTCCTAGAGCTGATGCCCTGAATTTGAACTTCTAGCCTCTTAAACTGTGAGATATTATGATATTAATGATATTGTTCGATAAATTCTGCATTCTGTTGGATCATCTTTCTTTGGGATGAACACAATCCCATCCCAAAGAATGGTGATCCAACAATATCATTAATATCACATGCAAGTAAAACTTTGCTGAAAATAATTCAAAAACTGTTGCAGCAGTACATGGACAGGAAACTGCCAGAAATTCAAACTAGATTCAGAAGAAGACAGGGAATAAGGGATAATAATGCTGATGTCAACTGGATCTTGGGTAAAAGCAGAGAATACCAGAAAAATGTTTACCTGTGTTTTATTTACCTTGCAAAGGCATTTGACTATGTGGATCATAGCAAATTAAGGATAACATTACAAAAAATGAGAATTCCAGAACACTTAATTATGCTCGTGAGGAACCTGTACATAGATCAAGAGGCAGTCATTTGAACAGAACAAGGGGATACTGCATGGTATAAATTAGAAAAGGTGTGTGTCTAGGTTGTATCATTTCACTATACTTAATCTGTAGGCTGAACAAATAATCTGAAAAACTGGATTATATGAAGAAGAACATGGAATCAGGATTGGAGGAAGACTCATTAACAACCTGATATGTGGATGACACAACCTTACACACTGAACGTGAAGAGGACCTGGAAGCACTTACTGATGAAGGTCAAAGACTACAGCCTTCAGTATGGATTATATCTCAACGTAAACACACAAACAAAACTCTCACAATTGGACCAATAAGAAACGTCATGATAAATGGACAAAAGGTTGAAGTTGTCATGGATTCAATTTGCTTGGATCCATAATCAATGCCCATGGAAGGAGCAGTCAAGAAATGAAAGGATATATTGCATTGGGCTAATCAGCTGCAAAAGACTTTACTTTAAAGAGTAAAAAAGCAAAGATGTCACTTTGAAGATTAAGGTGCACCTGACCACAGTACGTTATTTTCAGTTGCCTCAGATGCTTGCAAAAGCTGGACAATGAATAAGGAGGACTGAAAAATTGATGCCTTTGAATTATGGTGTTTGCAAAGAATATTGAATAAGCAGATCTGTCTTGGGAGAAGTACAGCCCAAATTCTCCTTGGAAGCAAGAATGGTGAGACTTTGCCTCTTGTACTTCGGTCATGTTGTCAGGAGGGACCTGGGAGAAGGATATCATGCTTGTGAATTAGAGTGGGTCAGAGACAAAGAGGAAGACCCTCAAAAGAGATGGATTGATCTAGTGGCTGCAACAATGGCTTACTGCCGCCAGGTCAGGGGCTGTTCCTCTTGCCTTATTGCTGCGGCCAGGGAGGAGAAGCAGGTGCTGCTAGGTCGTTGTCTGTGGGTCCTCTGCGCCTCGGCCCCGGAGCCTGCTCTCACACGACGTGTGCGCCTTGCTGTGAACGCGTTTTCAAGCGCGGCACAACCCACCCACCCTTTCGTAGCCAGCCGGGCGAGGGGACAAGCTGGGTGGTGGGCCGAGTACCTCTCCTGGGCCAGGTATGCAGACTTGAGGAGCTCACCACCGGTTATTTTTAGCCAGTAGCTGATCTTCCCCCTTAGGCCGACAGGCCAGAGGAGGCGGCGAGCAGAGGGAGCTCCCGGAGTCTCCGCGCTCGCTCCCGCGGGGCCTCCTCGCGCGGC